CCTAGAATACTGTGAACAGTTTTATTCCCTTAATCTAAGGAAACATATACTGGCATTTGAGGCAGTCCAGAGAAGGTTCAGTAGGTGGATCCCAGTGAAGGAGGGATTTTCTTATGAGAAGACTTTGAACAAGTTGGGCCTGCACACATTGGAGTTTAGAAGAATGGAAGGAGACCTTATAGAAGCATAACAGATTCTTAGGGGGCTTGAGCAGGTAGATGTGGAAATGCTGTTTCCCCTTGTGGGAGAGGTCCAGAACTAGAGGGCATAATCTCAGAGTAAGGGGTTGTCCATTTACGACAGACTTGAGGAAGAAATTATTCTCTCACAGGATAGTGAATCAACGGAATTCTTTACCATAGAGAGCTGCTGGGGCTGGGTCTTTAAGTATATTCAAGGCTGAGACAGACAGATTTTTAATCAGTAGTGGAGTTAAGTGTTATTGGGAAAAGATAAGAGGAGTTGAGGATTATCAGATTAGCTGAGATCTTATTGAATGGTAGAGCAGACTTGATGGATGAAAGGCTTACTTCTGCTCCCGTTTTATGGTTTTCTGATCACATTCTGGGAAATGCTTTTTGTAAGTGCCTTCTTAATTATACCTTAGATCTTTCAAATTCTATTTACATGTTTAGTTTATTCTGTAGCTGCAGGTTTTCTGTCTTGCTAAGACATCATGCTAAGTCTTTGATTTTTTTATACAGTTTAGTAAGTGATCTTATACAAGTGTCTAAACAAACTGGACACACAATGTGATTCTTATGTGAGATGCTTATATTCCAGATTATCTTTCTCCACTGTTGGATAAAAATTAATGAATTACTGTTTTATCCACATTAATTCTCTATCCAATATATGTTGTGTCACATCAAATACGTGCATTGCATAGCAACAAACTTAGCCTCGAGCCTGTTTGTAACTGGTTGAATTTTGCAATAATACTGTTTTGCAATGATAACCATTAAGGTAATGAAAAGTCTCAAAATGAAAGAGAGATTTTTAAGCAGGCTCTGACTTATCTGTTCTTCACACCTCTCAAGGGCAAATAGGCTTATGCAACCAATGCCAATGGTGTATACATTCAAAGAACAAAGTTTTTAGAAAATACTGACTGATCTTGGTGAGTACTTTCAGAATGTTCTGCTTTTATTTCAGATTTCTAGTATCTGCAGTTTTTTTCAGTTTTATATAACACAAATATCTGATTTCTTATTCAGTTAATTCATGATCCTGTTTGTGTAGTCTGAAGGAGTTGGGGAGATGGATGTCAGGCAAAGAAGTCTTCAATTACAACAAAAATAACTGGCAATTATTTGGTGCCTAGAATATTGAAAAATGTCCTAATGTGCTTCACAAGCAGAATCTGAAACAAATAGTGCTGAAGCCAAGAAAGATTGCTTTATAGGAGTGTGAAAACCTTGGTCAGAATGCGGTTTTTAGCTGAATCTTAAAGAAAGACATATACAGGCCTGGGATTAGGCCTATAAGTGGTTTAGGACTATTAAGGCAAGGCTTTGTGAGCAATAGAAGGAGGGGATGCCTGAAAACAGAAGTAAAAGGAACAGATGTTTGAGGAGCATTTGCAGATGATGGTTTGGAGATGAAAGTCTTTATGCTTGAGAAGATTTAAGATGAGAAGTGTTGTTTGGGCTGAATAGGACACCAACATTGTGAATGAACTTCTTCATCTTATGGCAAAAGCTGAACATGAGAATGGAGGATACAGCAACTTGCTAAGACTGATTATCAGGCTAGAATTCTGATGATGCAGTGATGGGACAAGGTCAAGGGGGCATGTGAGCAAACGTTCTCAATGTCCATGTAGGAGCAACCTCATATCTGCAGATTTGATCAAAGGGCCACATTTATACGAGGAAGAGAACAGGATGAAGTTTCAACCCATGGAAAGTTCTAAAGATAATAATGTGGGGTGGAATAATAATGTGGGGTGGAATCAAATGTTATTTCTGGAAACAATCTAACTAAAAGATAGGCAAAAATATCATAAAAGCAAATGAGAGAGGAGGATGATTTGGTTGAGTCAAGCAAATAATTGCCAAGTTCCTTTCAAGAAGACAAGGAGCAATAGTACATCATGATAACTTTCAAATAGGATCTAATTTGCGATTTCATTCAGGGTCATTTCAATATTGTGGCAATATTGGACCTGGTTGTCGAGATTACGGAGTTACACTAAACTTGTGCAAGGATTTGTGAGGCAACAATCCAATCAAAAGACTTGGAGACAGAAGAAATTGGAAGTAGGGCGGCAGTTACAAGGACATTTGCATTGAGCATAAATGTTTGAAGAAAAGGTGAAAGGGATACGACAGAACCAGAGAAGAGAAGCCATTTAAAATGGCAGCTAACATAGTGGTTAGAAAGGCAAGGTTTTGAGGCATCAATAGTTTAGTGGAAAAGGGGCAATGTCAGAAGTAGGATGATCTTCTGCAGATGGTGATGTTGGGAGAAGAAATGGAAAATCAATGAGAGATGCAGGGTTAAGTTTAGGACAGGTGAGGGAGGTTAGAGTAGTTTTTTTTTCATAGGCAAGTGGAAGGATGGAAAAATCAGAGAAAAGCAACTAGATAGTCACAGCCTTAATAAAATTGAAATGCACAAAGAGCTCAATTTTCATTGTTGGAATTGAAGTTGGACAGCAGTGGGGAAGAGTAGATAAGGAATACAATTGCCAGTGGTGAAATTAAACTGGTGATAGCTCTCCCATTCAAGATGACTCATGAGCATCAGACTGTTTTGACAGAGTCCTAGAGTCATAGAGCTGTACAGGACGGAAACAGACTCGTCGGTCCAACTCGTCCATGCCGACCAGATATCCTAAATTAATCTAGTCCCATTTGCCAGCATTTGGCTCATATCCCTCTAAACCCTTTCTATTCTTGTACCTATTCAGATGCCTTTGAAATGTTATAATTGTACCAGCCTCCATAAGTAACTTTCTAATTCTTTACCCTCTCACCTTAAACATATGCCCTCTAGTTTTGGATTCCCTTACCCTGGGCAAAAGACTTTGGCTGTTCATCCTATCCATGCCCCTCATGACTTTATAAACTTCTATAAGGTCACTCCTCAGCCTCCGACACTCCAGGGAAAATAACCCCAGCTTATTCAGCCTCTCCCTATAGCTCAAACCATTCAACCCTGGTAACATCCTTGTAAATCTTTTCTGAACTCTTTCGAGTTTCACAACATCCTTCCTGTAGCAGAGAAGTACATCTCTGTAGTGCTAATACTCTGCTGTAGCCACATCTCGGATTGGAGGCTAATCCATTGTACACAAAGAAATGAAGTGAGTGAGGAAATATCAATAGAAAGGACAGAAAGGTCTGGTGCATTCTCACCACCAGATCTCTCCACTCACCCTCCTTGCTGAGCTGATATCCAACTGCACATCCTCGCCCTGAGAAAGACTGGCTACTTTATCACAGTAGCATTACCCACTTCCATTCTACTTCAATCCATTTGTTGTTGGAACTCTTGTCCACACCCATCACCTCTGGATTCAATGAATGTACTCTTGGTGAACATTCCATTCTCTTGTTAGCAAACCTCAGTACACCTGAAATGCTGCTGCTTTTATCCTGTTCTCCAGGATCCTGTCTTCCTCGTCTCCTAACGGACTTTAGCCCCACAACCCTGTGAGTTCCCTTCACACTTCCAAATCTGGCATTTTACGCATTTCACACTCTTTTCACACTACCATTAACATCTATACATTCAGATGCCCCGGCCCTAAATTCTGCAATTCATTCCCTAAATCTCAACACTCTGCATGATTACACTTCTGTGAATCACCTTGAGTCAGTTTTGTACAATAAAGGCACTTTATAAATGTCAGTTGTTGTTTGCACTGTTCATTAGATACAATTCAGTTTATTTTCTTTGAATATGAAGACAGAAATGGGAGGGAATGAGACGTTTCTGAGGACAGGGGATTCGAAAGGGTTGAGTAATTTCAACCATTTTGGAACACCTCTAGGCAGTTGACTGATGAGCAACTTTGCCAGAGCATTGGAGCAAATCCAGTTGGAGAGCATGAATTCATAATATTACTGTTAGTCGTTTAGATGCAGTTGGCAAAATGTCATGGAGGTAGATTAAGAACGAGTCACAATTTATTAAATCATGTGCACCCAAGTGCACTGAGGAACCAAATCCGTAATTTCATAATGTGAACAAGAACTAGATTATCTGTCTTTTGTGGTGCAAATTCCCCACGATTCAATTATCGTATTCTGTACTCAATTGTGTTTTTTTTTTAAATGCTGCATTTCTATCAGGAATCTCATGCTTTAAAAATGTTTGCTGGCTTCCAAACTGGATAAAACAGATCATAGGATTTGCTCATGAAAATGATAGCACCGTGTAACCAGCAAAACAGAAAACCTACACCAGCATTAGTAAAATCAATGCTTGCAGCAGCATTTACGGTAGTTTCTTTGTCTGCAAAAAGGGTGCAATAGGCCAGAGTGGCGCTTGAAAACAATACATTTTTAGGAGAAAATATTAACGCATTCTTTTGTTTTTAAAGTTGCACATCGACACGGAACTAAGGTGCTCACTTTCTGACTTCCACTGGGGACTGTTGAAAGCAACAGGACATTGGATACAGCGTGAGAGGCGGGATAACAGCATGATAGACAGACGGTCCGACCAGTCGGCTCTCGGATATGGCAATCCCTGCACATCCATTGGATGAGGCTGGAGGAGGGTCAGCCAATCGGCGGTCAGGGGGCGGAGCAAGTATGTTTGGAAGACACGTGGGCAGCAGGATGAGGAAGTAAGAGAGAAGCGCTGGCAGTACAGGGGGAGCGTTAGTGACACACAGAGAGAGGACTATGATCGAGGGCTGGAGCCCGGTTCTGCAGAGCCTCCTGGGCACATTCTTCACCTGGGGGCTCACCGCCGCCGGGGCTGCTCTGGTTTTCATCTTCTCGCACGGCCAGGTCGGTATGAAGTGGGGACCTGACATTGAGTGCATACGTGAGCTCAGTCCCCGGCCAGGCTGGTCTCTGCATAACTGGTTAGCTTCATCATGAGTTTAATTTGATTCCTGAAAGTAAAATCTTAAATCAAAAGCGTGCAAGACCTTTGGAAGGCCCAGTTGTTTCCTTTAGGGCAGTCTGTATGATCAAGACGTGGAGCCCTCAATTTGGGACCACATAGAAATACAATACTCTAACTTGGCAAATCAATTAAAATAACTTCCTCAATGAAATGCTCATGAAGGATCATTGTCAGTGTATGAGATGTCCTTTATATTCTTTTGTTTCCTAGACAGTACAATATAAAGTATAACTAATACCTTTGAAAGATTTACGCCTCTATCTTTCCTTTTGCATTGTGTCATGGCAGTATAAATGCATTTTGCAATGCTACGTTGACAGCCCAACCCTTCCTGGAAGCTGACATCTTACAGTCATTCTTGCACAAGTTGATCTCCAGGCCACTCACTTTCTTATTCTTATCTTTTTTTGTTAATTTTTGTGGAGATTTCCTTTCAGTTTCCTTTTAGAAGGTTCACTGTAAAGGGTAGATTCCAACGAATGGGAATGATCTGGAAACTGCCTGTGAGGGGGTGAAAGTTGAGATGATCAGTAATTTCAAAAGCAAGTTGTGTAGGCCCTTGAGGGAAATAAACTTGCAGGGCTACATGTGGGTAGAGCGAGGAAAGAGAGTGAATGGATTGCCCTACAGAGAGCCAGCATGGATTCAGTGACCTGAATGGCCTCTTCCTATGTGCTTATGACTAAACTGGGACAGCACATAATATTTTCAGGCCCTCAGCAAGTGTAATGCAAAGAACTACTTCTGCAATATGTTAGAGATACGCAAACTAACAATATGTGCGTATCTTTTAATGTGAATCACGTCCTAAGATGGTTGTTTGAAATGAATTAAGACAAAAATTGATGCCATAATGGAGATACTATGTGGAAAGAATAAAAACTTGGATTAAGAGCAAGTTTTAAGGAGGGGCCTGAAAAGCCATAGAAGAGGTAATAAGGCAACGAGGATTAGGGATTTGATTAGGGCCACTGGAACTGCTTAATTTAGATTTTCTTATATTGCTGCTTGTGTCACTTTGTTGGAGACAAAGTCCCGACTGTATTTTCTGCCATAACAACAGTGACTGCATTTCAAAATTTCTTCATTGGCTGTGCAATGCTTTGGGATGCCCCAGGGTCAAGAAAAGGTCTATGTAACCGCAAATACATGGGGAACAGTAGCATTATTAATGTGTTGTTGAGTTAGTGATCCACAAACTTGGTATGATGTGGAATTGTATTCAAGTCCCAATGCGGCAACTAGGAAATCTAGATTTCATTAACTAAATCTGAAGCAAAAGGCTCATATCAGTAATATTGACCATGAAACAACAGGATTGACATAAAAGCCCATTTACTTGTTAACATCCTTTTGGGAAGGATATATGCTGTCACATCAATATCAGTTGGCTGAACCAATAGCCCTTGACCCTTTGAGTCAGATGGCTGTGGATTTCAAATCTCATTCAAGGATTTGAACTCAAATCTGGGTTGCTTGACGGAGTGCTACGGTTTATGGGTGCCACCTTTCATTTGAGATATTAAACCCTGTCTGCGCTGCCAGGTGGAAATAATAGATCCCGTCTCACTATTTCAATGAAGAACAGGGGAATTTTGCCTTGGGGCTGATATTTATCCCTCAGTCAACATCACAAAAACAGATGAAGAATCAGTGTTATTTCACAGTTTGTGTGAGGTTGCTGCCACGTTTCCACAGGTATAAATGTCTACACTTCAGAAGTATTTCATTGGCTGTAAAGCACTTTGAGATCTGTTGAAGGTGCAATATAAATGCAAGTGTTCCTTTTCCTTACCTGATCGAGGACTCTAGACCCAAGCCATGTCTTTGACTCTTTACTCTCCTCTGAAATGACCTGGCACGTCACTCAGTGGATGAGTCAAATGCTGGCTTAGCTGATGGTGGTGACATACAATGAATGAATTAATAAACAAGTAGCTTTCTTGAGTGCAGAAGGCTGAAGATAGAGGGGCCTGGGGAATATGTAAGAGGAAAAGGAATGGGCTGTTTGAGATCGGGAGGACGAGGCCTTGAGGGAATCTGACAATGAGGATGAAAATTTTAAATTTGAGGTGTTAGTTGATTGGGTCCCAATGTTAGTTAACAGGCAGAAGAACAATAGATTAGTAGGACTTTGTGTGGGTTAGGAGATTTGCATGGGCTCATGTTTATGGAAGATAGTAGCTGCTCAGGAGAACATTGAAACATTTGATTTGGGAGGTGACAAAGATGCACAAGAATATTTCAGTGGCAAATGGGCAAGGCCATGGAGAAATTTGATCAGACTGCACAGAGTAGATGTATATTTATAAAGATTACATAAAGTAGACTTAATTGACTTTTTTGAAGAAATATAGTTACAAAAATAATGAAATGTTTAGTAGTATAATTTATATGGACTTGAAAAAGACATTTTGTAAAGTTCTACTTCAGAGAAGTTTTTTTTATCAAATCTGTTCAGACATGTTATGATACCCATCCAGAGCAGGCGAGACTCTGGCCCAAAGGAAGGACATTCCGAATATGACACAAGAGGCCTCTCTTCGGAGAGTGTCAGCCAAACATAAAGTCCATGGTATTAAAGGCAGCTAATTGGCCTGTTCAGGAGATTATCTATATTTTTAAAGACAGCGAGCAGGATAATGGTCATGTACTCGAGTTGGAAGGAAATGACAAGGAATCTATGCTGGACCCCAATGATTCATGATATAGTTCTTACTGACTTGCATGATGTACTGGAGAGACGTGTATCCAATTACATACGGTTAGGTGGCATTTGTAAAATACTAGCTTCTAGATGTAGTAAGTGAAAAACCAGTCCTGTTGGTGGAAGGGTCAAGACCCAGAGGGCACAATTTAAGGGGAATGGCAAAGGAAGTAAAGATGATGCGTGGAGAAGTGTTTTTACGCAGTGAGTAGATAGGACCTGGAATGTCTGAGTGTGTGGAAGAGGCAGATTAAATCATGGCATTCAGAAGGAAATTGGGTAGTTATCTGAATTGACTTTTGCAGAGCTACTGGAAAAAATGACAGAGGCAGAGATAGGACTAGCTGAATTAGCTGAGAGCTGGCACAAACAGGACAGGCCGAATGGCTTCATTCTCTACTGTAGCTCTTCTAGGGTTCAAAAGTAATGCCCCAGATCTTCTGGCCTCTGGGTTGTTAGCAATCCGACACACAATCCAAAATGTGTCTGAGGACCCCCAGCCCCACAGAGATCTTGATGCACCTGCCCACTGTGAGAACAGCCTGGCATGAGTAATACCCCCTCTCTCTGGGACTCTCTGCAAAAAATCTCTGACCCTGAACTGGACTTAGACTGTTCCACCTGAATAGATGCCTGAATATTACCTGAATAGATACAGAGGAAATTTTTGATTAAAATCCTCACCTAACTTAAGAAAAGACCCCTAAATCCTGAACCCCCAACTACTCCCAGACTAAGCCCATCTACCCCTCCTGCCCATGCTATCCCGGACTTGACCTGACCAACACCTTCCCCAATTTGATTTGCTACCTTCTTTGCTTGACCTGACCTGATCTACTTCGTGACCTTGCCCACATAAACACCCCTCCCTACTTGCTGATCTGCCACCTTACACTCTTGCCCAGTCACTAACATTCAAACTGGAGCTTTAACCTTATCTTAAGACAGCTTGTGCTTGAAAGGTGGTCTTTAGAGATGTGATAGCATTGCAGAAGGAGGCGGGGGGATTTACCAGGTTGCTGCTCAGGCTGGAGAGATTGGACACACTGGGGTTATTTTCCTTGGAGCAGAAGAGAGTGAGGGAGGACATGATTAAGATGTATAAAACTGAGGGGCATAGACAGGATAGACAGGAAAAAACATTTCCTCTTGATGGCGAGATAAATGACCAGGGGTGTAGATTTAAGGGAAGGGGCAGAAAGTTTAGAGGTGATGTATTTTTTCACCCAGAGGGTGGCGGGAATCTGGAACTCACTGCCTGGAAGGGTGATAGAAGTAGGAAACCTCATAACATTTAAGATGTATCAAGATGTACATCTGTGATGCCAAAGCATGCAAGGCTGGGATCTAAGTGTTGGAAAATGAGATGAGATTAGTTAGATGGTGGTTTGTGATTGGCGTAGACTTGATGGGCCGAAGGGCCTTTTCCTGTCCTGTAGACATCTATTACTCTTGACATTAGTTGCAGACACCACAATGATCCAGTGGAATTCTCTGAGGGACACTGTGCTCCGTATTTCATGAGAATTAGGGCACTGTGATGAAGAAAGTTCGAGGTGTGAAAGATTGGAGTGGAGCAGTATTCAGAAAATGATTGCCACCCCAGAGAATATTTGGTCCAGTGTATTTTATCTTTTGCCTGATGACAGGATGAAGGGAGCATTTGCTTCCTTAACGAGCCAGTTTTATAAGGTTCCCTGCAAGTTAAGATATCAGATTTCCTAAAAGATAATCAGTAACAAGTGGTGTTTAGACAAATAAGCTGATTTAATTTGTTGCTAATTATGATCTAATTGTACAGTCCCATCGATATTCTAAATGTTGCTGGGACTTTGTATGATGCACAGGAAGAAGGAGAAGCAGCTTGTATTAATGTTTTAAATCTTGAGATTAGATCACTGTCTCAAGCCTGTTCCTTTCTCGAGTTGTTCTTGTACTTTAAGCTTTGTGTAGTACAAAATGATCTGTCCCCCTGCTATTTATTTAATCCCTGTAATATTGAAAAACACAAATTGTAATTTTCGTCTGCATAGAATGTCCCAGTAATGGATTACAGATTATGAATTTAGTACACATGTGAGTGAAAAGTTGCAAGGGGACATAGATCTCAAGTGGGTGAGCAAGATTAGGGTCATCAAAGTTAAATGCAGAGGGTTCTGCTAAAACACAATA